ATGATCAGCTCGCAGGGCGAGGAGGGCTGGGACATGCCGCCCAAGCGCCCACCCCTCAAGTGCCCTATCTGGTGAAGATGAGGCGTTGTGGAGCGCCTGCTTGGAATTGCCGAGAAGACGACAGCGGCCTGCGAGACGCTGATCAACGTAACTAGCGATGCCGATATCCGAGCTGCCGACCATGGTGAGCGAGAGGCGTGCTTCACGGATGTGGCCCTCGCGGACACCCCGATGCCCCAGCTCCCGGAGTACGAGGGCTACTCCGACGAGTGACAAGCGTGCGCCGCCGACCTGATGGAAGGCTGCGCCGGCACTGCCCGACCTACGAACTTGGCTGCCCAGCTCGAGCTGCCCTGACAAGGAAGACGGCCGGGATCTTTTTATTCCAGAGGGTTCTCGGAGGTGGAAGGCGCAAGTCGTCCAGGACAAGCCACTGGTGGTGGGGATTGGATTTCCTTGCGCGCTGTGGTGTTCGTTCAGCATTAACGTCAAATACATAGACTAACCAGAGTTGCCAGAGAAGCTTAGAGCCCGTGACCGCGCGATGGCCAGCTCCATGCAGCATGCCACCGAGTACCGGGTCAAGCACGGCAGGTTCTTCTTGTTCGAGAACCCGCCGACTTCAGCAATCCAGGAGGATACCCAGTTCTGCCCGCCCCTTAAGCGGGGCCAGACAACAATCGGATACGGATGCCAGTATGGAAAGATTGGCAAGACAGGGCTACCGATTCGGAAGGCCTACCGCTGGTTCTCCAACGAGCCGCAGCCGCTCGCCGCTGCGAGCCGCCGATGCCCAGGACTTCGGCCAAAGTCCGGAGGCCACCTCCACGACCCGATCGAGAACGCCAAGTGGACGAAGGCCAGCGGTGAGTACACAGACGAGATGGCTTACGCAATGCTGCGCACGATCCAGCAGATGGCCGCCCAGAGGCAGCCGAGTCGATTCGCCGACCTTCCAGTCGCAGCTACCGAGTGGGAAGTATCCTTCTCTTACGTCGTGCCTATCGATGCGCTACGCGCGGCCCCGTCCAAGGACCAGTCGAAGCGGGGCGAGGTCTTCCAGGGCGCGCGACCGGTCATCGGAGGCGCGGCCAATCGAGGAGGCGCCAAGGCGATCCTTTACCTGACCAAGTCTTCGACGTTGTGGAGACAGATCACCCGGCTCGCGCCTCGGGATCTTGCGATGACACAGGTGGTCGAAACGGCAAAACAGAGGAGGTCCCCCATGACCAAGGAGCCGTGGTCTCATCGAGGACATCGCTATCTCGACGGCAAGGGCCATTGCCACATCGAGTCGGAGGACCTCTCCGACATCGCTTCCCCGACCTTGCCGCTGACCCCGCCGGCCGAGCTGGTTGTTTTTTTCTTCGGATATGCCCCGCGGGAATCCGTCGTGCGGGGGCCTGATGCATCAAGGAACAAGGAGCGCATGCCGCCTTCTCCGAATCCGAAAGACCCCGTCCCGCCGAACAGTTATCTTCCCGCCTAGGACGAGGACGACCTTCACGACGTTCCCATCGCGAGGGTGCCCGACGCGTCTGCTGGGATGGCCAGCATGCGTTTTGCGGGCGCGACCAAGGAACAATACCCGCGGGGAGTTCGCCAGCCTGTGGCTCGTTTACACTGCAAGCTTGGACGCCATGTTGCCGGCGAGTTCAGCTTCTGTCGCATAGAGGCGCTTCGCAGGCCACTCGACTGCGCGCTCGAGCTCTTCGTTGTCTAGCATGCCTTCGGCGCAAGCGACCTCGGTGACAACGAGAGGCTCAGATTCCACGAGTGGGCCTCTTCAACGATTTGGTAAAGGCCGACCTCTTCTACGTCATGGCCCACGACGGAACCACCTATAGGCACTGCTGGGTCTCGTGGACAAGACTACTCGATTGCACGTGTTTTGCCGGGATCGCCTCATGTGAGCCAGAACCACTGGGAAAAAATTCAAATGCGCTGGCTCACGCCGTTTGAGATTGCGCAGATATTGGTTGTCGATCGAGATGGAGCCTTCGAGGGCTCGTTCCTGATCGACTGCAACACTCTCGGGTTCGACGCGAGGCACGTGCCACCCGGATGGCACTGGCAGTTGGGCTTAGCCGAATCCGGCAACTACGCCTGGCGCCGTGTCTTCGAGCAGGTCATCGACGCCATCCTGCCGGTCACTCCAGAGCACCTGGACTCCTCGATCATCTCAACAAGCCGCGCTGTTAATCAATATGGACGCCGCGCCTGCCGCGCCGCATGCGCCGCCGTTTTCGGACGAGTGCCGACGCTGCCTGCCGAGCTCCTCGCCGACACCACATCCGGCAAGTACTGGCACGACGCCACAGAGGAAGATATGTTGGCCCATGGAGAGCGGCGCCGCGTCGAGGCGCTGAAGGCGATCGCCTGCCTGGAAGCTGGCGAAGCACTGCGCACCTCTGTCTTGCGACAGCCGGTCAACCGCAAGGTGTGCGAATTCTTGGTTGGCCAACGCTTTGCCGCGCAGGGTGAGCATGGGCGGAAGAGACGTGGCAAGACGCCGATCGCAGGATGCCGCCCCGCCATCTTCTGCTTCTGGAATTCTGGCGCCAACGGTTACGGCGAAGGTGGGCCGGCATGGCTCCGGATCGGACATCGGACTGCCCAAGTGATTCGAGAGCACATCCGACCTGCCATCGGCTTCGAGGGTTGGACGCACGGCGAGGAGGATCTCAAGCAGCTGAAGAAGGCCGAGCAGGGCTTGGCCGCCGCCGGGGAGGGCGACGACTCAGGGATAGACGTGAAGACGCCTCCAGAAGGACCTCCAGGGCCAGAAGATCCGCACGCGCGTGCACTACCAGGGCTGCCGTTACAGGCAGCGCCACTTGAGCCCATTCAGGAGGAGCCGATTGCGGCGACTCCTGGAAACAACCCTACCAAAGAGAACTTCGGAAGCGCGTCTGACGTTCGCGCCCCCGAACCTGCGCTACCTGCTCGACCTCGGGAACCCGTCGCAACAGGACCACCCGCATTGGACGATGGGCCTGCTGCGGCTGCTGCCCCGGCTGCTGCTTCGTCATCAGGTGCCCGGCGAAAGCCTGCCGACCAGGACCCGGGACAGCAAGCGCCCTTTCAATGGCCAGCACCACCGCAGTTTGGCCCAGTGCGACCGAGAGGAAGGCATGAGACACCAACGCCGAGGAGGTCAGCACCACACACACGATAACTGTCAACGGCCCGACCTGCATCGGGCAGTTCAGCACCATCTTCAGTGATGGTTCTGCCTCCCGAAAAGAAGCTCCCATCTGTCAAGCTGGGCGCGATGCCATCTGCGCCTTCGAATCCAGCAGCATTCGCGTTCAACGATGCCGGCGAGATGGAGTTCATCGCCCGTGACGGACGGGGCGGAGTCGAGGAACCTGTTCTCCTCAGGTCAAGTGTCTCCACGGGCCTCGACGCGGCGAAGGGCCCTGACGACAAGCACAGCCTAGACCCTGAGACGTTCGAGAGCGACTTGCGCGACAAGACCTCTGAGGACGTGTGCGAGACGGTCGATGATTTCATGAACTGCCTGTACATGACATATAAACCGCGAGCTCGACAGCTTCCTTGACGGGGAGTCGGACATGGCAGACTGCGCCGCAGCCCAAATCGGGGGCACCAACACCGCGGACAACCTCTCCAGACGTGAGCAGCGTGAGCTGGATCGAAAGACCCCGCGGCGGGAGATCGCAGACTACCCGGAGGAGAAGTTCATGGAGTACGTGAAGGCGTTGCGCAAGGAGTGCCAGAAATGGGGCGACTGGAAGTCGGCGCGGGCCTGCTCTCTAGAAGGAGCTGATATCGCCCGACGAGGTCCATATCTACGTAGACGCTGTATTCGCTCACGCGTGTACCACCGCGACAAGAACCTAGGATTTTCGCCCTCAACCCTCGCATGCGAAGAAGTTGCTCAGGACCTGGGAGTGGACTATGCTTCGTACTTGTCAAGAATCATGTCCGCGATGCTCACCGAGGGGCCGGCCGGACGATGCCAGCCGATCGTCGGGGTGATCACGGCGACCGATTGCAAGTCCCTGTACGGTGCGCTGCACCAACTCATTCCAAGTTTGTCCGAGAAAAGTGGACAGTGATTGACGTGCGTTCGATCAGAGATGAGGCTTCAGTCAACTAGGTGCGGTGGATCCCTACGACACACATGATTGCATATGGGATGACCAAGGAGAATGCGAAGCTACGCGAGACGCTTACCAAGTTCCTGGCCGGCCCTGTGCTCTCGCTGGTGGAATGGATTTCGTGTGAAGATTTGAGTGGTGGAGACGGTCTAGTGATTGATCCGTTCGTGCTGAGAGTCGCGTTTCGCGCTCATCCGCTTGGCTTTGTGCAAGATCCAGAGTTTTCTCATTCGCTTTCTATTATCTCAGGCGCTTCGCGACTCGAGGCGATTATTCTTCCACATCGATGTTGTATTTTCCATAGCTGTCGCTTCGCGACCATGTTTTACGCCTTGCCCGCAGGCTGGCGAAAAGTAGTTTATGAGCAGGGCCAGAGAGAACCTCGGGGATGCAATCGTCATTATGTTTATGTGCACTTTCTGGTCCCTGCTAGTGCTGCCGCTGCTCTGACCCCTCTCGCCCGTAAAAGTATTATAGCTCGGGGGGGGGCCTTAGCTGCTACGCAGACACAGAAGGCATTTGCCCGCGAAACTGTCTTGGAAAATATCCACGATTGTCACCAGCGCCTGCGTGTGCGCTGCACTTAGAAGATGTATGGCTGAGACCGTGTTGAATCAACAAGTCGGCTTTATGTTGTAAGAACCGCGATGTTGTTCTGAACTGATTCTTTTGTTCTGCGAACATGGTGTGGTGGGCCAGTAGGAACGCCTAGGTGGTCGGCCCTTCCCAAGACGAGCACGAACAGTCCAGCAAACAGTCACGCACTCGAGGGTGCAGACGGGCAGGGAGAGCACGGACGGACCAGCGGGCAGTCGTCGGCAGCTCGGGGCAGGCGGTGCCCCGCGCAGTTCAACATCATCTTCACGGCGGCCTATGACCCCCTGCTCCCCTTCAATCCGGCAGCGCTGTCGCGCAGATCCAGCACCGCACTCGGACGGGCGCCTCGGGGCACGGGGGGGGGGGCGCCCCGGGCGGTTGGTGCCACGAATCGCTCCACTTTAAGACGAAGCCATGACGAGGACGAATTCGGGTGAGGATAAACCGAGAATCTCCGAGATCCAGCGGCACTGGAGGATGTCTCGGGCGCCGCGGCCTTCTCAGAGCGTTCCGGAACGCTCTGAGAGCATTCCAGAGTGGTTTGGAACGGAGTTACCCTCGTCCTGGCCCCGTCCGACTCCCGAATTCCGAATGTTTGGGCTTTTTGTGTTGCGTGGATGGCAAGCGGGTAGGTAATCTGGCCCGAAGAAAAAAAAAACTCCTGCTGGGTTTGACGTGTCGGGGGCGACTGGCACTTCACCTGTCCATGCGGGGCTCTCTGTGTCCCGTTGGGGCGTTCCGCGCTCCCGGCGGCGGTGGTGTAGGGCCTTTCTGTGCCCCGATGGGGCTTTCTATGTGCCCTGTATTTTCTCGGGCGGTTGCGATGCGAGTGATACTGTGGTCTGAACATGAAGCTGTTTGCTTAGTTATGAAAACTCATTATGGTTGCTTCGTCGGCAAGTCTCACTTTTGGCCTTCCTGTGTCCGCCATCATGGGTGGATGCGTCACCATGTGGGCACGTGCACATCATAAGCAACAATAGATTGATCCAATTCCTAAGGGATATCCTTGTCGATACCCAAGCACAAATCATGAAAAACATCAAACACTAGCATAGGCAAGATCCTGCACAGCATCCTAAGTTATCCAGCTGCCTTTGGCAAGCCCCGCCACCTTGCCAGCGCAGCATTCTGGGTGACAACTGTTCGAGGGGGCACGGAAGGCCGTCACGTGTGACACTTTGTGTCCCTAGTTTTGAGGAAGGAAGTTGTGATGATGGTGATCGTGATGATGATTAGGAGGAGGAGGAGGAGGAAGAGGATGGTGATGTTGATGCTGCTGGTGATGATGATGGCGACATTGATGATGACGATGCAGATGATGATGATGATGATGATGATGATGATGATGATGAATAAGAGGAGGAGGAGAAGGAGGACGACGATGACGGTGGTGGTGATGCTGATGGTAATGGTGATGATGATGATGATGATCATGATGATGATGATGATGATGATGATGATGATGATGATGATGGTGGTGGTGGTGGTGGTGGTGGTGGTGGTGGTGGTGGTGGTGGTGGTGATGATGATGATGATGATGATGATGATGATGGTGCTGATGATTATGATGTTGGTGGAGGTGGTGTTAAGGATGATGAGGAGGATGAACAGGAGGAGGATGAGGACACGGAGGAGGAGGAGGAATACGAGGATGATGATGAGCGTGATGAGTATGATGTGAAGGACATTGAGGAGGAGGAGGAGGAGGAGGAGGAGGAGGAGGCGGCGCAAAACAAAGGAATAGGAGGGCCGTCACATGTGACACCTTGCGCCTTGACTAGTTGAGGAGCCTTCTTGGAACTCGTTTGGGCCGTCTTGTGGCTTTCTGGGCCTCCTGTGAGCCAGTCTTAGGGGTCCCTGGGGTCCTCTTGGGCCGTTTTGGGGCCCTCTGAGGCCGTCGTGGGGTTCTTTGGGGCCGTGTTGGGAACCTCTTGGCCGTATGGTGGGGGCCGTCGCGAGGCCGTCCAGTCGCTGTCTTGGGCAGTCGTATGGTCTTAGCAGGCCGTCTTGGTTCCCACGGGAGGCCCTACTGGGCAGTCTTGAAGCCAAAGTGGGCCGTCTTGGAGCCGTCTTGGGCCGTCTTGGAGCCATCTCGACATCGGGAGCGCGGCATCTGGCGTAGTTTACGAGGGAGTGTGGCCTCGGGAGCGCGAACTTGTCGTACTTTGCAAGGGGTGGTGGCCTCGGACGCGGGGCCCGTGCATGCGGCGAAGTGCGTCTAGAAGGGGTGGGGTGCTTCAGAGGATTGCAATGCAACCCAACCAGACAGCAATTGGCAGCATTCTAGCACGCCCCAACGTGCCAGGGGGGCGGTGTCGGATAGCCTCAACAGCATCGTCAACAAGAGCATGCCCACTAGCACAAATACCATCCGAACCATTAACAACATATGCATTACAAACAGCATCATGAACAACATCACAAGCAGCACTATCAACAATACCAGGATCAGACTCCTGAACACGATCTTGACCAACGTTCAGTCATATGTCTCGAAACCTATGGCACACATAGTACCAACCGATACCAATATCCGACATACCATCCTGAAACATATCCTGAAAAGCATCGTGGCTACTATCTGGATGGCCTCAACATGACTTCAATGCGATCCCCAGATAACCTCAATCTTGTTTCAACGTGGCTTCAATATGACCCCAACACAGCTTCTAGCGTGACACGTTGACGCCTGTTGGGAGGGGTTGTCTGTTAGTTACGCCTCTTATACATGCTTGCGTGCCATGCCGCCATGGCACTAACGGAGGCGTCCTCATCCTCCTCCTCGTACTTCCTTCCTCTATCTTTATACTCTCCTTTCCTCATCCCTCCTCATCCTCCCTTGCTTCCTCATCCCTCTCCTCTCCTCTTTCAAAGCGAGGCGTTACGGCTGCCACCCTCGGAACGACCGAACCAGTTTCGCATCATTCTGGCCCAGATTACCCGAATAACCAGATCTTCTTGGTAGTACAGTTGGCTGTCGGCGCTGGCAACGTGGGGGGACAGCGCCTACCGCTTGCAGGAACACGGGTAAGTTTGTAGTGGAATTAGTTATTAGTTGAAGTAGTGGTAGGAGGAGCAGGTGGTAGTAGCAGTTATGGTAACGGTGGCGCAACGAGAAGCAACAATAGCAGTGGAACCCCATCAGATCCCCATGGAGTTCATATAGGAAATCACTCTCGGACATAGAAATCTCCATTCTGGAAGCAGAAAGCCCCAAAGAGACACAGGAAGCCCCACTTGGACACAGAACGACCGTTCCTCTGTGTCGGGGGGGAGGGGGCGAACCATCGTTCCGCAGAAAAGGCAAACCGAGAAGCAAACTTAACAAAACGAATGGTCCGACACACACACACACACACGTACCAACCTCTGCAAGCGTGGTGGCGGATATGTTGGTATTGTTCACAATGCATGTGTTCGAATTCCGAGAGTGCATGCGCATGATGTTCGCCGCCCTGTCGCATTCGCAGGCTGATTTTTACCAATTCGGCTTCCACTTGGGGTCAGGGCTGGAAAAAATATTGCCCCTGGTCCGGTTGCCGCCTAAGAAGTCCGACTTGCGCGAGGTCACCCGTGGCCTGGTACATGCGTTCACGGACACCCGCGAGGTCGACAGTGGAGCGGTGAGCCGTATTCTGAACGACGGTCTCAGCAGCCCCTTCGATTCGGACAATTGCAACGCGTCAGAGAGATGCCTCGACTACGTGCAGAAACAGTTGGAGGAGGTGTATGGGCCGCTGCTTGACATAACGATGGGATCACTCTTGAACTACACCTGCTACAAGAAACTGATCATGCTCGACTCGAGGGAGTGTTGGCAGCGTGCAGCGACAGGGCTCGCTTCTTTGAGCAGCTCCCTCTTCAACATGTATACGCTCATTCCGGACCTGAGGAAGGCCGCCTGTCCGTCCCGCTTCATAGAGGCCACTCGGCGCTTCGACAGCAAGGCCAACATCACGCTCGACCTCATCACCAACATTGTCCTGCACGCGTCCGAGTTGGAGGCGGGCGGCCTCCACGAAAGGGGAGGGTCGGGAGGGGGACTGATAGGATGTCCTGCCCCCTGGCATCGCTCGGACGTGTGTATTTTTTCTCGGCGAGGACCCTGGAGGAGCATCCTGGACCATCGAGCAAAAAAAAACACGCACGAGATCGACAAATGCACGGGAAATGGACGTCCGAGCGACGGCAAGGCCCATCCTCCCGCCGTCGCCCTTTGAGGGTACGGGGTCTGGGTTCGGCCGAGGTCCCCGTTGGCGCCAAGCTGCCTGTATGGTGTTGCGGCGGTTCGTGCTGTCGGCCCCCATAAGAGTCCGTTCTGAGTGGGTTATCCCCCTCCCCCTCCATGAAAGCGGAGGGAAGAAGGAAGAACGAAGAGAACGGTCGGGAGGAGGAGGAGGAGGAGGAGAGGATGTTACGGGCAAGGGAGTTTTAAGGGTTTCAGGGCGGTTCGAGGCGTCTTCCCTCCTCATTCCTCCATGTCTTCCCCCTCAGCTTTTTTTTTTTTTGTTGTTTCTCTCTCTCTCTCTCTCTCTACACACACATGTTCCTCACATGGCCTCCTCCTCTTCATTTATCTTTGTCCCATTCCATCCCTCCCTCCCTCTCTGCTCCTCCTCCTCCTCACCCTTTTCCGCTTCCCGCTCCGCCTCGTCCTCCCCCTACACGTCGTCTTCCCGCTTGCTTTACGTGCGCCGATGTGGTTCGAGTCTCTTCTGTTGTATCTGCAGGCACTCACACAGCCGAAGGATCGGCTGTGTCATGACCTGCGTTCCAGCGGGCGCATCATAACCAGACAGGCACGGCCCAGTTGATACTACAATGAGCACGTATCTCGCGTTGAATTGTCGCATCTCGGCAGGATGTTGCGAGATTGCCAGTTTTTGATATTTGCATTCCTACGTGTGTCTCGCCGCCGAGAAGGGGAGAGGTTGCACGCGGCATCAACCTCGAAACGGGTGGCTTCGCAAGAGCTGGTGCTGGTCGGAGTGGGATGAGCGGCGCGCCATTCGGCATGCCCTTCACCTCAACTGGAGATCCGGTTGGTACTGTCGTCTTCTTCTGGAAAGCAGGAAGAGCGTGTTCTACCGCTGCTGGGGGTTCCCACCCCGTACCCCCCATCGAAAACGAAGGGGATCACTACCAGTTCGAATCCCCCCCTCCCACCCTCCCCCCCAGTCCATCATGAAAGGGGGGGGGTCGCTACCGGTTCGAACAACCCCCCTCGCCGCCGGCAAACGATTCCCGCTCCTCGGGACAGTGGGCCAGTGGCGGGGACAGCGGGGACACTGGGGCGGTGGTAGGGACAGTGATGGGGACAGTGGGGACAGTGAGACACTGTTTTGGGCGCTGGTGGGGACACTGGGGACAATGGTGGCAACAGTGGGGACAGTGGGACAGTGTTGGGGACAGTGGGACAGTGGCGGGGACGGTGGTGGTGGGTATAGTATTGTGGGGACAGTGGGATAGTGGCGGGGACAGTGGGGACAGTGGGACAGTGGTGGGGACAGTGGGACAGTGGCGGGGACGGTGGTGGTGGGTATAGTATTGTGGGGACAGTGGGATAGTGGCGGGGACAGTGGGGACAGTGGGACAGTGGTGGGGACAGTGGTGTGGACAGTGGTGAGGGCGGTGGTGAGAACGGTGGTGGGACAATGGGAAAGTGGTACAGTGGGAGCAGTGGTGGGCACAGTGGGGACAGTGGTGGGAACACTGGGACAGCTCAGTGGGACAGCGGCGGGGACAGTGGGGACAGTGGGACAGTGGTGGGGACAGTAGGGGCAGAGGGGAGAGTGGGACCGTTGTGGGAACAGTGGTGGGGACAGTGGGGAAAGTGCGACAGTGGTGGGGGCACTGGTGGGGACAGTGAGGACAGTGGTGGTGGGGACGGTGGTGCTGGGGACAGCGGGTGAGGGCGGTGGTGAGGACGGTGGTAGGGACCCGGGAGTCGCTTGCCGGCGGTGAATGGGAGGGGGGAGGGGGGGGTGTTCAAACCGGTAGTGCCCCCCCGGTTTTCTGGAGGGGGGGGGGGTTCGAACCGGTAGTGACCCCCCCTCAGTTTTTTGGAGGGGGGGAGGGATTAGGGGGGAAGGGGGTTTTGCCGCGGGAAGGGAGGGGGGGGTTCGAGTAGGGGGGCGGCGCGGATTTTCGGAGGGAGGGGGGGACCCCAGGTTCGGGAGGAAGAGAGGGCCTCGATTCCGTCGCCCGCCCCGACCCGCCTCGTTTTCTGCATCGTCGAAGCCCCGCCCTAGATGGCCATGCGGGAGTGCACCGAGCTCTTCCTCAAGAACCACCTGTACCACTTCGGCTACCACCTGGGCGTGGTGCTCGACCAATCCACGGAACCCTCGTTCTACAGGCAGGGCGGGGCAAGGGCATATGCGAGTTCACATGTTGCGGTCACACATGCTTGAGTTCGCATGCGGTCGATTGCGACGATTAATGGAATTCAAAGCGATCCACGACATGCCCGCCCGTCGCTGAAAGTAGGCATCTTGCAGCTTCGCACTTGCAAGCTCAGTGTGCTCTGTCTTGCTACGTGGTCGGGAACTGCTCATGACTTCACAAAAGTGCTCGCTTCTTTCCGTCACAAACCGCACCTTGATTAGACTTGATTAGATCGGAGGTTGGGGGGTGAGATCGCAGTGGAACGGAGACCCACACCGGGAAATCGTTTCGTTTCGTTCGTGTCGTGCGTGAGGGCGAGGCGAAATTGCGTGGGCGCGCGAGAGGAATGAACCCGCCGTTGCTAGGGCGACGTCAAGACAAATGATTATCCTCCGTCCGTCCGGCGGAGGCCCTAGCGGTGTCCCGCGGTGTCCCGTGGTGTCCCGTGGTGTCCTGTGGTGTCCGCCATTGCTAGGGCGAAGTCAAGACAAATGATTCTCATCCGTCCGTCCGGCGGTTGCCCTAGCGGTGTCCCTCGGTGCCCCGTGGTGTCCCGTGGTGTCCGCCGTTGCTAGGGCGAAGTCAAGACAAATGATTCTCCGTCCGTCCGGCGGTGGCTCTAGCGGTGTCCCGCGGTGTCCCGTGGTGTCCCGCGGTATCCCGTGGTGTCCCGCGGTGTCCCGCGGTGTCCCGTGGTGTCCCATGGTGTCCCGTGGTGGCCCGTGGTGGCCCAAAAAGTGAGATCGATAGTGAGATCGATAGTGAGATCGATATTGAGATCGATGTAGTGCCCCGAGGTGCCCCGTGGTGTCCCGTGGTGTCCCAAAAAGTGAGATCGATAGTGAGATCGATAGTGAGATCGATAGTGAGATCGATGTGGTGCCCCGAGGTGTTCCTTGTGTCCCGTGGTGTCCCAAAAAGTGAGATCGATAGTGAGATCGATGTGGTGTCCCGTGGTGTCCCGTGGTGTCCCGTTGAGTGAGATCGATAGTGAGATCGAACGTAAGATCGATGTGGTGTCCCGAGGTGTCCCGTGTTGTCCTATGGTGTCCCATTGAGTGAGATCGATAGTGAGATCGATAGTGAGATCGATGTGGTGTCCCGCGGTGTCCCGTGGTGTCCCGTGTTGTCCTATGGTGTTCCGTTGAGTGAGATCGATAGTGAGAGACCGATAGTGAGATCGAGAAGTGTCCCGCGGTGTCCCGTGGTGGCCTTTGGTGTCCCGCGGTGTCCCATTGAGTGAGATCGATAGTGAGATCGATAGTGAGATTGGCAAGTATCCAGTGGTGTCCCGTGGTGAACCGTGGTGTCCCTTTGAGTGAGATCGATAGTGAGATCGATTGAGTCAGATGTTGGTTCCCCCCCCTTTCCCCCCCCCACAACCTCCTTATCACCCGAAGGGTGGTCGTATAGGTTATGTTGTTTTCCGGTATTGTGTTGACCCTGCCTCATCCGAGCACCCCGCAATAATCATCCTCAACATCCCGCTGCTCGTCGTCCTCCTCCTGCTTCTCCTCATCATCCTCCCGATCCTCATCCTACTTTTCGTCGTCTTCGTCTTCCTTCCTTATCCTTGACCTTCTCGTGCTGGTCCTCCTCGTAACCCTCCTCCTCGTTATTCCTTCTCTTCGGCCTCCTCACATTCGTCATGACCTTCCTGATCCTCCATGGCAATGTTGTTGTTCAAGCCGAGGCTGGTGATGGGACTACAAGATTCTGCTTGTGTGCCCCCCGCCTGCTTGCAGCTGTTGCGCCTTTCCAACGGCTAGTAGCCCAAATCATCCATATTTGGTCAACGTGCTTCGGCAACGGCACGCGCATGACGATGCCGTCGGGAACGTGTTGAGCGTTTTGATGTTCCAGGCCGCGCAAATGCAGCAGTTAGTTGTACCTCAATGTGTGCACCAGGACGCACTGACCGTAGAGCCAGAATTCCTCTTGCAAAGACGGCCCCAACAGGGAAAACATATCGGTTGTGCTCGCCATCGGGTTGCCAACGCCTGCGGCGATGACCATTTCAAGCTCGGCAAGTGGCTCGGTTTGGCCACGCACGTGATCCTGATGATCGTGACGACCGGCGCTTCGTGTGTCCTATGCGGGCTTGACCGTTTGACCATGAAGGAGTGCCAGGTGTCATCCCACCTTGACAGCCAGCGAGCGTTTTCTTACGTCGCATTCCGTCCTTAATCTGCCCTCTCCAATTGCCAGGCCCCCTTGTGACGGTCCCCATTGGGTACTTGGAGTTGGACCTCTCGAAGGTATCTGGATGAATAATCACACTCCGTCAAGAGCTCCCTTCTGGGCCAGCACCAATTTGATGAGAGTGTTGCGTGGCCGTGTGCGCGCGATGCTCGTGTGTCTACAGTCAACCAGGATGATAAGGATGCGCGGTAAGGATGCAAGGGCTCTGGAACGCCATGTTGAGGTTTTCCGCGCGGAGTGCGGCCGAATTCCGCAGGATGCAAGGGCACCCTGACGCGCCGCCATCCTTGCCGAACTGGCGCCTGGGCCACAAGCAAGGCACAACGCAAGGATGCAAGGGTATCCTTGGGATTCGCGCGTCCCTGGGAGCACGGCGCCACCGTCATGGGCATCTACTGGCAGCGCCTAACTCGGTGGCAAGGATGCGCAAGGGAGCCATCCTTGGCCCGCGCTTTCAAGCGTTGTTCGCCAGATGCGCGACGGTGCGCATAGGATACCCTGCCCATCCAACATCCTCAGGGCCGTTCCCACCCATGAGTGGGAGGGCAAGGAAGACGTGCCCAAGGATGAGCACAAGTACCCTGCGCGTCGCGCATCCTTGGGGCCGCGGTCCCTTGAATGTAAGGAGGGCAACACCAGACCCGAGGATGGCCAACGGTACCCTGCCCATCCATCATCCCCAGGGCCGCTCCCACCCATGACTGGGAGGGCAAGGAAGATGTGCCCAGGGATGAGCACAAGTACCCTGCGCGTCGCTCGCGCGTCCTTGGGGTCGCGGCCCCTGGAATGTAAGGATGGCAGCACCGGGCCCGAGGATGGCCAAGGGTACCCTGCCCATCCAGCATCCGTCAGGATTGGCCCCCAGGGGCGTCGCGCCGCGCAACCTAAGGATGCAAGGGTACCCTGAAGGGCTGGCCAGCGAAACTTGGCAAGGCTGCGCCGAAGGGGCAAGGATGCAAGGGTACCCTGGCAAAGTTGCCCCATCCTGACTATCATGGTTGACTGTATCGTCGCCCACCTGGACATACATCGATGCCCCGAAAGTTGTCTCATTATGTGGTGCACAGCGCCGCGCGTATGCCATTTGTGCAGCGACGACGAACCTGGATTTGACTGTTTCGTCCCCAAGGGGCGTGACCAGGGGGTGAACAGTTACGCTGCGCTGCGACAAGGAAGCTAGTGTAATGTGAACGCCGACTCGCCATCTGCAGGCCTCCCGAGAGCAGTCCAATCAACAACTAATTTCCGTGCAAGGTGCTCGTTGCCCAGCCTCTTGCGACGGATCCGACACTATGATGTCCGTTAGGTTCCAAACCATTTGTTCATCCAGAGGCGGTCCAACGAGCGTACTCACATTATGGTTCGCCAGATGTGTATTTGACGGGGCCGAAAGTATGATTTTCGAGGAAGGTCCAAGTGCGTAGCTGATTAGGGTTCCGTTCCAGACGACCTCTCAGCACCTATTCGCACAAGTCCCAACGATTGCTCTCATTTGTGACTGTGCCACGGATTTTCTTTAGAATCTAGAAAGTGTTGTTGACGGTCCGAGCAAGTTGCTCCTTTATGGGGTCCATTCACGCCGGCCCCACCGCATTTCTTCGCAAAAGATCTAACGAATTTGCCCTCCTCGGTGTCGGATCGACAGAATGTGGAATACCCAGGACAGCAAAGCCTATCCAGCAACGATGCCCATGAGAGCTGGCAGGGGGAGGGAGGAAGAGACACGCATAGTCAAACAGCGAGGGAGACCAGCCTGGAAGGCGCGTTGGGGCCATCTCCGGGCCCGCGTGCGGGGGGGGCAAAGAGGAGGCGGAGAAAGAAGAGGAGGAGGAGGAGGAGGAGGCAAGAGGAGCAAGACGAGGAGAAGGAGGAGGAGAAGGATTTGGAGGACGAGGACGAAGAGTGTGAGGAGGAGGAGGAGGAGGAGGAGGAGCAGGAGGAGGAGGAGAAGGAGGAGGAGGAGGAGGAGGAGGAGGAGGAGGAGGGGGAGGAGGAGGAGGAGGAGGAGGAGGAGGAGAGGAGGAGGAGGAGGAGGAGGGAAGGAGGAGGAGGGAGGGAGGAGGGGGAGGGGAGGGGGAGGGGGGGGAGGAGGGGAGGGGGGACGGGAGGGAGGAGGGGAGGAGGAGGAGGAGGAGGAAGGAGGGAGGAGGAGGTGAGGAGGGGGAGGGGGAGGATGAGAACGAGGAGGGGGAGGATGAGGAGGAGGAGGAGGAGGCGGAGGCGGAGGAGGAAAATGACGAGGACGAGGACGAAGGATATCGACGAGAACGAGAGGACGAGGAGGAGGAGGCTGAGGAGGAGGAGGAGGAGGAGGAGGAGAAACAGGAGGAAGAGGAGGAGTAAGATAAGGACGAGACGAGGAGGGGGACGAGGAGGAGGACGAGGATGACGAGGAGGAGGACGAGGACGAGACGGCGTCTTGCGTGCCTCGGGCCAGCTTTTGGGGCCTCTTGGGGGGCCGCTCAGCGGGCCTCTTGGGTGCCTCTCGGGTGCCTCTTGGAGGCCTCTTGGTGCCTCTTGGGGCGCTCTTGGTGCTCTCTTGGGGGCCTCTTGGGAGCCCTGGAGGGCCTCTTGGTGCCATCTCCGAGGCGGTCAGTCAAAAGAGGGGGGGTCCTCGATGTCTTCCCCTCCCCCTGGGGGGCCACGATCCTCGTGAGGGGTGTCAAAACTTTGCCCTCCCACTTGCCGAACCTGGACCCTCTGACATATCGGTCCCCCTCCCAAAAGACCCCAGGGAGGGGAGAGGGAGGGTTCCCCTCCCCGAAGGGAAGAGAGGTTGTGGAAGAAAAAAGAGATTACCCTTAGATCACCTGTCGCCCAAAAGGCTGGTGGGATTCTGGGAGAAGCTCCCAGCGGTTGTCTCTCGGAGCTACGTTCCGTTAGGAGGATTAGCATTTCCAGAATTCGCACCTTCGAGCTGATTGCACCCTGAAGGCCCGCAGGTGGTTACGTTGTTCTGGACCCCTGTGGCCAAACTGGACAGGACGCCAGGCCCACCCGTACCCCGTCGCCTCGAAAGCGACGCCGAGTACGATTGAGACCAGATGTGAGGGGTTCCGAGTGGTAGTGACTACGGATTGGCCGTTGATGACAGGTGGGCCAGGGCGTGAGCGCATCCGTGCACGAGCAGATGTTGTGCGTTGCATCCAGAGGGCAGTCTCGCCGCCCTGCCCACAGGAGGAAGCGTCTGCCGCGGACTCGGGGCTGCGTCAGCGGTCATCGTTCGGCCCGAGGGGTTCCGACAGTCGGGGCGCCGACGGGCCCCCTGGAACGCCCCCAGTGGACACCCCACTGAGAGGCCTAATTGGCATCCATGCTTGCTGGACGGCATCGCGGTGGTCATGTGGCTCGGAGACAGGACTCGCCCAGTGGGCCAAAGCGGGACCACAACAGGCGTTTCGTGTGATAGTTCCCGACGCTCTGGGATCGAACGGGCCCGTGGGCACCCTTGGTCGACACCCGCTTGGGAGTGTCCAACGCCAGGCCTGCCACATCGCGGTGATCATTTATCCTTTTTTAAAAAAAAAGGAACAACAACAAAAAAAACGGCCGCTGGACCAAATCAGGCGTTTCGCCAGAGAGTTCCTGACAATCTTGGCGTTAACGGCCCGTGGAGCAACCCTGGCCGACACCCCTTTGGGAGACCCAGTGCCACACCTGCTACACCGCGGTGATATGGGGCTCTGAGACGAGACTCGCCCATCGGGCCAAAACGGGCGTGTTACCCGAGAGGTCCCGACAATCTGGGAGCCAACGGGCCCGTGGAAACCCATGGTCGACACCCGTGCGGAAGCGTAAGCGACTTGCTTGGGAACTTGGAAAAGAGACCCTTCCACTGGCCAAAACGGCGCCCAAACCGCCGTTTCGCTTGAGAGGTATCGACAATTTCGGCGCGAGCGGGTCCGTTGAGCACCCACTGGGGGTGGGGGGTGGGGGGCAGTTGCCATGCTTGCTACACTGCTGTGGTCATCGGGCTCTGAAGCAAGACGTCACAAAAGGGACGTTTCGCTTCAGGGGTCCCGACAGTCTGGGCGCCGACGGGCCCCGTGCAGCACCCGTGGTCGACACCCCAGTGCGAGATTGTGTGCGAAAAGGCCCGCGGAACACCCCTTGCCCAGATGCCACGCCTGCTTCATTGCGGTGGTCATGAGACTCTGAGAAGCGAGCCGCCTCCGCCTCGCTGAACGCGAGCGGGTTTGTGGAGCAACGTTGGTCGGCGTCTCCGTGGGAGGCCACAACGCAATGCCTGCTGCATGCCACATCGCAAGATGCCTGAGCATGAGCCATGCTCAACGCTCATGCTCAGACGAGGTGCTGAACCACTGCCTGCTTGCATGCGGGCGCAGAGGTGCAGAGTTCATCTCATGCTGGACAATGGCGGTGCGGCGACGGCACCACAGGGTGCCGATTCAATCGCCAGTCATTCTCAACAGCCCGGTTTCCACCACGATGGAGTCGTGCACAGTTTCGTGACCCGTCACTACGGATGCGGGAGCTGCCACGTCGAGCGCCATGCCGCTGTCGGGCACTACACACCCCAAAGAGTACCGCGGTGTCCTCGACGATGGAGTCGAGCACCACGTCGGTACCCAGCACCACGGAGTCGACCGCCACCACGTCATCCATCACAATGGGGACGAGCTCGAAGCCGAGTTCCAGCACGACGGACTCGAGCACTACCACGGTGTCCACGGCGTCAGAGCTGAACACCGCGCCGGTGTCCAGCACGACGGAGTCGAGCACTACGTACGACTACACGTAAGAGTGACCTTTCGCCGGAGTGACCTTTGGTGCGGGCTCAATGGGGTCCTTCGATCGCTGCTCGCGAAGCAGTAGGAGCGGCTTGCGCGCCCGGGTTTGGCCACCCCGCGTCCCCCGTTAAGTCGACCGCAGGTCATTATTGCCCAGGGTCATTCCTTACGTGTAGCCGATACGTCGCCACCCCGCACAGCGGCATCGATCCGTATCACACTGTCCACCCCAAAGGAATCGAGAATGGCGTCGATACCCAACACGACGGAGTCGCGTTCTACCACGGCGCCCACCATGACGGAGTCGAACACCACGTCGCTAGCCAGCACCACATAAGCGAGCGTCACGACGGCACCCGCGACGACGGACTCGAGCACCACGTCAGTGCCGTGCCCTGCACTACGGATGAAAGCGCCACCGCGGCGTCCACCACGACGGGGACGATCACCACGGCAGTATCCAGCATGACGAAGTCTTGCAGTTCAATGTTGCCCACCGCGGCAGATATGAGCACCATATTCTTATCCAGTACAAGGGCATCCAGGGCTAACATGCTGTCCACCAGGACGGAGTTGAGCACCACGTCGGTAGCAAGCACCGCGGAGCCCAGCACTGTGGCTTCATCGCGGCCCAGCCGCGCACCCCTGCTCTCGACCCAGGGCGAGCGCCACGAGGCGACAGATGCCCAGAACGTTTTGACAGCTGCATGGGCGCTGCATCAAAGCGCCGGCATCACTACCACGGTGCTATCGCGCATCTGCAAATGCCACGGCACAGCAAGCTCACACGCTGTTCGCGCGCGGCCTCCTGCGAGGAAACGCAGAGACCTCGGCAGCCATCTCGTGGCTCGCCAGAGCCCGCGTCATGGATCGCATCATTTCACGAATTGCCTACGCATGCCGGCGTCTTTGATATTGTTGTGTTCGGTCTCGCGGGAGGAAGGGGGTGTGGAGGACGGGGGTGAGGAGGGGGAGGGGAGGAGAACGATGAGAATGAGTTGGTGGATCAGCGACAGGTTCCAGCAGCTCAGCTTCCCTGTGTCCCAGCACTCGTTGTTGGAACAGGTCCTGTACCTGGCCTTCCTCAAGTCCCTGATCGCGGCCTGTGCGGCATGTCCGCTCCTGCTGTTGTTCTGCTCCGCGTGCTACGGGCGGCCTGCGAAGTATCAGGATCGGTTTTTGTTGGGGGGGATGCGCGGGGAAGCGCAGGGGCTGCTACCCGAAAGTCGGGCTCGTCCCTCTACAGGAGGAATATTCGAAAATAGTAAAAAAAATGTCAGGGGGCTATTTTTGGAGTATGTTCTGACCATCTGGAAGTATTTGCGGAGTATGTTTTTTTTCGTCGAGAATCCCCCTGTGGGGGGGACACGCCCGAATTCATCCTGCCCCTCCCTCCTGTGCCGAGGCAGGACAGACACCGCAAAAAGGCGAAGGGTCGGCGACGAGGGCGCAGCTCTCGGCTCCAGCGGCCCGCCCGAGGCAGGCCCGGCATCCGGTCCGTCGGGGCCGCATCTTCATGCCGCCCGCATCCCCCCGCGCGCGCGGCCGCGCCGAGCGCACGGTCGGGAAGAAGCCGGGCGAGCGCGCGCAGCGCGCGCTGGTGAACTCCGAGGTCGGGTCGGGTGCCGGAGCAGCGCGCACGGCAGCCCTGCCGCTGGCTCGGCGCCGCATCCTGCCCCGCCGGCGCACTAGCAGCCCCCGCTCCGCAGTGGCGCAGAGCGCGCCACGGAGCGCAGCGTCTGCCGTGGCCGGCGCGGAACGGCGCATGGAGGACGGGAAGCTCTGGATCGAAACGGGGCCCAGCAACGTCTGGAGAGCTGGGACGCTCTTAGATCGAAGCGCGCGTTGGGTAAGCACGGCCCGGCCACAGATCTAAGCAGCCCCGCGATGCACGCGTGCCTCACCAGCGTCTTCGTCCCTTACCTTGCGGCACGCGCTGAGGGCTCGGAACGGCCGGGAGAGGCGGGCGCTGTCGAAGGAAGCGGGCTCCGTGCGCGGTTGCGAAGTCGCCAGAGCCTTCCACGTGCCTGAACAGCAGCACGAGGCGATGAAGCAGGCCCACGACGACGGAGCGAACTGGAAGGCCGCCCGCCACCTCGGCGTCGCCCCCGACAGCATGGCGCCAGTCACGAGGGAGAAGGAGAAGCTCTACCGTGACGAGAGTTAAGTCGGGCCTGTCCCCCTACAGGGGGATTTCCGACGAAAAATAAAGGATGCCCCAAACATATTCAAACATGGCCCAAACATGCTCAAAGAACAGTCCCCAGACTATTTTGGACTATGGTTGGGGTATTTGTTATTTGTTGTGGAAAATCCCCCTGTAGGGGGACAGGCCCGACTTAAGACGAGAGGTCGAACACGAAGGTCAGGAGGCTTGCGCAGCAGGTCGTCGGCTCGCGGGGCGCCGCTCGCTGACGAGCGCCGCCGCCGAGGCCTCGCAGGCCACGGGCGGCGGCGGGGCCAGCGCCCACGGGGCGCGGAAGGCGCCCCTCGCCGACCAGGCTCTCGCGCGAGGATGCCAATGATATCGAGGGCGGCCTCCGAGGGAAATCGGCGGAGCTCCTCCTCCTCCTCCTCCTCCTCCTCCTCCTCCTCCTCCTCCTCCTCCTCCTCCCTCCTCTTCCTCCTCATCCTCCTCGTCCTCCTCCTCCTCCTCCTCCTCCTCCCCCGCCCTCCTCTTCCTCTTGCCTGGCCTCCTCCTCCTTCCTCCTCCTCCTCCTCCTCCCCTCCGCCCCTCCTCCTCCTCCTCCCCCCCTCCTTCTCTACCGTCCGCCTCGTCACTCCTCCTCCTCCTCTCTCCCTCCCTCCTCTCTCCTCCTCCTCCTCCTCCTCCTCCTCCTCCTCCTCCTCCTCCTCCTCCTCCTCCTCCTCCTCCTCCTCCTCCTCCTCCCCCCTCGCAAGGCCCGACCCCGCGAGGGGGCGGCTCCTGCTGGCCCGGCAGAGGCCTCGCGAGGCGAGGCTGGGAGGTCGCGGCAAAGGCAATCGACGAGCTCTCGAACCCGGGGGGGGGGCGCGCCACGGCAGCGGAGGCCGCGGCAAAGGCCAGAAGGGCAAGGGCGACAAAGGAGAGGACGGCGACAACCCGCCCCACATCTGGCGGCAGCGGCAAGCCAGAGGGAAGGGCCAAGGAAAAGGCAGAGGCCACGGGGGAGATCGCGGGAGGCTTGGCATCGCTCGGACGTGTGCATTTTTCCTCGGCGAGAACCATCGAGGACCATCCTGGACCATCGAGCAAACAAACCACGCACGAAACCGAAAAGAGCACGGGAGACGGACGTCCGAGCGATGGCGAGGAGGAGCTGCGCTGCCCCGCCAGGAGCGTGCGCGCGGGAGTTGCGCTCCGGCCCTCGAGCGCGCGGGCCGCCGCCGCTGGAGCTGCGCGGGCGCCCGCGCGCGCGCACGGGCGAGGCGGCCCGCGCCGGCTCGTCGGCCCCGCCCCTCCCCGCGAGGCCTTGCCCAGAGCCCGCCGCGCTGTCGGATGCCCCCCCCCACTCGTCGCTCAGGAGGGAAAGAAACACACAGACACAATGACTCGCCGATTCCCCAGAAAATATAGGAAAATATGGGAAGTGGGGGGCAAGGCAGAAACCCAGAACATATGGGAACATATGGGGAATATTTGTATTTGTGTGTGCTATTTATTTGTGTGTCCCAGGGCCCCTTCAGCCGCCCAGTCGACGCGTCGCCGCCCCCCCGGCTGCGCCCGCCGCTCGAGCCCGGGGTCGCCCAGCACCTCGGCTTCGCAGCGCTCTCGGCGAGAGCGCCTCCGCGCGGCTCTCCCTCAGCAGCTCGCAGAGGGCCAGCTCGGCCGGGGCGCATCCCCGCGGACCTGGGCGCTCCGAGCGCTCGCGCGCGCGCTGGCCCGGGCGCGCCCGGACGGGAGCCGCGCCCCCGCCCCGACCCGCAGTGGAGCGATATGCCCACCGACGCGCAGGGCGGAGCGGGAAGCTCGAGGGCGCGGAAGCCTTGGGGCGCGAGGGCGAGGGCGGGCTCAAAGGCAGATGGCTCCGAGGCCCGGCGCGCCACCGTGGTCCCGGGTGGAGGGCCGGATGAGGCATCACGAGGGCCCAGATCCCGCGAGGAGTGCCCCGTCTCCTGCGGCACCGCGCCGACGGCGCGCCAGGTGGAGGCTTTCTGGCGGAGGAGGCGGCGAGTCGAGGCTGGCTTTCCCAGGGCGAGATCCCTGCCAGATGCTCCGCCCGCCTGGGGGATGCAAGGCAGCTCCTTTCCAAAACGGGGCTCGCGCCCGCATGGCAGGTTCATAGGGTGCTCGTGCTTCAAGGGGGCACCTCTTGCAATGAGAACCCAGGCTCTTAGGGACGTATGAGGAGGGGACTTGAAATCGGAGGGTGTACTGCAGCATCGTTGATACAGACTGGGCTGGACCAGAACTTCGAGGTGGATCCCGCCTCGGCGACGACGGCTTCCAGGGAGGCCCGAACAGACGAAAAATTGCCGAACCCTTCGATCATCCTCCCCCCTCATCCTCGTTTTCTGTCGCCGCCGCCGCCGAGGACGGCGACTTCGACGACAGTGACGACTACGAGCATGACGACAACACAGACAATTGGGACGACCGCGCAGAATATGTGGACTGCGACGGGGACGGCGACGACGACGACGACGACGCGTTTCCGACTGCCGTCTGCGGGAACCGCCGCTCGGCCTTGCAGGAGATCGCCATCGCCAGCGAGGAGGACGGGGCCCCCTTGGCGTCCGCCCCCCAGCGCGGGCGCCCGACCGCGCGGCCGCCCCGCCGCAAGCACCCAGAGATCGCCTGGTCGGTCTGGTCGGTCCCCGTGGGAGGATGGAGGCTCGGTGGTCAATGTTCTGTCTGTCCCGAGGCTGCACAGCGGTGTGTCCAAACGCCGTCCCAGGTGTACAGTCGGGGCCCTGAAGAAGGAACCCTTTTCGTTGGGGAGGGGCTCCGCGTTCCTTGATTGCTTCGCAGCTTGCCTCAGGTTTTCCTTTGGTTTTCGATGGGAATCGAAGTTCAGCTTGTGGAAAAAAAGGGGCCTCGTTCCTTATTTAGGGTTCCTTAGGTCAAAGCCCCGACTGTATTCCGCGTGCACGGTGCGAGGATGTTGCGTCTCGAGGCCAGGCATTGGTGGAGCGCCAGGAGCACACCGGGTGCATGTGGTGCGTGGCGTGGCGAGGATCGCGCGGCTTGGGGCCAGGCAGTGGGGCTTCCCAGGACCGTCCCAGTTGAATGCCGTGCGCATTGGCTCGAGGACGGTGCGCACCAGGGCGCATTATAACAAGCGGTGTGTCGTTACGCCTCATCGGAAGCGCTGTATGGTTTGTTCTGCGCTTCGATGGTAGCCGATCGGAAGCGCGGTGATTTCATTGTTCACCACCCACCAACCCACCCCAACCCACCCCGAAGGCTCCGATTTGCCATCCATTTCCAGTGTGGGTGGGTCGGGGAACATCGAAAAAGCACATATGGAACCCGTACCCCCCCAACCCGAAATTCGGGTCTTCGGGTTGGGTCGGGGTGGTCTGGTAGGTAGTCAACTGTGCTTCCGATGGCGCCTTCTCGGGAACGCCGTGTTTGAATTGCCCGACGTCGCCCCCGCGTGGAGTTCCAAGGTCGGCGGAGAGTGCCCAAACATGATACATTCCTTTTGTTATGGGGGTGGCCGATTCATAGCCCTCCCAGGGCATCCCGTGCCCCCCCCCCACCCCATTGTTCGGTGTCCCACGGGCGAGAGGAGTTCGCGTGTTTCTTCTCTTGCACAGCTGTGCTCGAGAGCTCGGACATCGTTATTCTCGTCGTGGTTCGTGGTGGTTCGTCCCCCTCGGCCCCTCCCCTGAGCCTGAGCCCCAGCTCCCCTGGGCCACCCCCCCTTCGGAGGCTTGCTCCGTCCAGGCTTCCCAGGGCAGCCCCCCTAGGCCGCGGACATCCTTATTTTCGTCATGGTTCGTGGTTCGTCGTGGTTCGTCCCCCTCGGCCCCCCTCCCCTGAGCCTGAGCCCCAACTCCCCTGGGCCCCCCCCCCCCCTGGGAGCCGTCCTCCGTCCAGGCTTCCCAGGGCAGCCCCCCTGGGCCGCGGAACCCTTTATTTTGGTAGTGGTTTATGGTGGTTCGTCCCTCCTTTGTGCAAGAAGTGCTACTTGTGTTGGTGGCCCGCACGGACAGAAGGAGCCTTCTGTGTGGTGCGGTCCCCGAGCCTTACGGACAACATGAACCTACATCGAATGGCTTTCGGCCCATCCCGCCACCGCGCTTGGGTTTTGGGTATGCAGCCTATTGGATGTTCGTTGGGATCTCGTGGAAGGCCTTTTGCGGGCCTCTTGGAGGCAGTATTGAGGCCTCTTGGGGGCCGTCTTGGCGCCTTCGGGGGCCTCTTTTGGGCCTCTTGGTATTGGGGGCCTCTTGGGGCATCTGAGGGGCATCTTGGAAACCTCTTGGGGCCACTTGGGCGCCATTTGGGGCCTCCTGGGAGCCACTTGGGGCGGAAGTCTCGGATTTTCGGTGTGTGTTCCCTCTCTTGGGCCTCTTTTGGGGCCGTCTTTGGACCCTGTCGGGCTTTCTTGAGCGCCTCTTGGGCTGTCGTGGGGCTCTTAGGCCGTCCCTCTTCGAGACCTCTTGGGCCGTCTTGGGGTGGACTTGGAGGCCTCTTTAGGCTGTCATTGAGCGTCGGAAAAGCAGAAGAGGCGAGAACTCCAAAATCCATCAAGAACCTATGGACAATCAATGATTTGCGTCTCTCGGGAGGCCTCTTGGAGGACTCTTGGGGCGTCTTGGAGGCCTCTTGGGCCATCTTGATGCCATCTTGGGCGTCTTGGGGCGATCTTTCTGCGTCTCGCGGCCCTCTTGGACCGTCTAGAGAGCCTCGTGGGGCCTTCTTGGCCCGTCTTGAGGCCCTCTTGGCTCCGAAACAGTCATGCGAGAAGATGCTGGGAACCCCAGAGGCTCACGCGAAAAGCCCCGGGAGATTTGAGAGCGGGGGATCCAAGTCCCTTAGAGAATCCTCCGGGGTGAAGAGTGGGGCTCCGAGGATTAGGCAAAGGACCTGAGGACACGCCCACGCCGTGCCCGAGGCGAATGGTCTGTGGGCCCCGAGGCTCCCAGACAAAAGGCGGTCCCGCCCAAGCGATTACGAGCGAAAGGGCCCCATGCGTTTTGTGGGTCTTGAGGTCTGAGGGGGAAGCGAGTTGTTGCGATTCTGCGTCCCGCTCACGGGCGAAGGGTACCCTTCGCGTTCTGTGGGTCCCAAAGCTTTTGTCGTCCTACAGCAGCTCACGGGCGAGTCTCGTGAGCGAAGGTCACCTGCGCGTTTCACAGTAACCCGCAGCCCACCGACGAAATGATGGTGTTGCGCTTCATGGGACCAGCAGCTCTCCGACGAAAGGACCCCCTGGGTTTCGCAGCTTGGGGCTCACGGGAGAAAGGAACCTTTCTGCTTTGCGGGCCCCGCGGCTCGTTGGCGACTTGCTTTTCGTGTGCCTCGTGGGTCCCGCGGCCTGCAGGCGAAAGCACCGCTGCGTTCTTCTGGGCCCCGAGGCTCACGGACGAAGGAGGCCCTTTGTACTCTCAGCTTCGCTCGGCCTCCGCAAGATCTTCCTCTGCATCTGTAGCCGTTTTGGCTCAAGCCGCGTTGGCTTCCGCGAGCCGCGCGAGTGGGGCTGTTTTGGGTTGGCGGGTGCGTTGCCCCAGCTGACGCGCCTTGCGGGCCATGGCTGAGGGCAAGGCTCCTCAGTTCCTGAGCTTCAATAGCAAGATCTCCCCCGAGATCGGCTCCTTCCAGCCGCCCAGCCCGTCGGATCTCGAGGACATGAAGAGCAAGGATCCCCCCCTTCAGCATACGTGGACCATCTGGGAGCAGGTCGCGCAGAACCCGGCCGACAAGTCTAAGGAGTACTCTGACGCTACGCACCGTGTCGCGTCCTTCGCCACGGTGAAGGGCTTCTGGAAGTATTGGAACCACTTGCCACAGCCCAGCGAGCTCCTCGACGGAAAGAAGTTCGTGCGAGAAGCCGGCGGCTCACGCAGCATCGTCGACGCCCTCATGGTCTTCCGCGAGGGCATCAAGCCCGAATGGGAGGACCCAATCAACGCCAGCGGCGGGCACTTCCAGTTCCAGCTCCCTGCATCCCTCGGCGGAGGGCCCATCGACGAGAAGTGGAACAACATCGTGCTCGGGATGGTCGGCGGGTCCATCGAGCCAGCCGAGATGCTTACTGGAGTTCGCTTGGTGGACAAGCTCGTGCCGAAGAGTCGCAATCCGGCAGTGCGGCTCGAGGTATGGTTCTCAGACACGGAGGACACGGCGAAGGTGGACCTGCTGGAGAAGAGCCTGCAGAAGTGCACGACGACCCGCCCCGACGGCACGCACAGCCAGCCCGACGGGGGCAAGATCGAGAGGAAGCCGCACGGCAGCCAGGGGCCGGGCTCCGAGCCGGCGAGATGCCGTGGAAGTGGTGTGGCCGGGCGGCGCCATGCGCCCCTGCACCGGTGGAGACCCGGGCGAGAGAGGGCGAATAGCGGGCGCTGGGCCCCTATGTGGCCCTCCCGGGACCAGCCTTTTGCACCCCGAGCCTGTAGGAGAGAAGGTGGCGAGGAGGAGGGAGGAGGCGGAGGGAGGAGAGGAGCAGGAGGAGGGAGGGATGCAGCGTGCGCGCTTGGCGGCCTGGCTAAGAAAAGAGGGAGGGATGCGGGGAGGAGAGGAGGGAGGAGGAAGAGGGAGGATGAGGATCCGAAAGAGCCCCTGGTCCTGGTCCTCTACGGGCTCGAGTGGAGACCGGGCTCGGAGCAGAGACCCAGTAGAGGGTTCCGGCTCGGCGCAGGGGAGCCGCCAGAGCGTACGCCGGAACCCGAGGGGAGGCTGCAGGAACTCCACCTGTTCGAATTTTCTCCTCACAAGCATGAAAATCTGATGGCTCTGTAACGTGACTGGACATATCGGTTGTCCAGGATGACTTCCGCGCTCGCTGCTTCAAAACCGTGTTGGCCCAGACGGGGTCGGGGGCATCAGCCGTACGAGCTTCCCAGGACTCGGCAGAGGGCGGCGGCGCGGGCGGGCTCTGGTCCTGGGCCCTGGAGTCCCGGCCCTCGGAGGCCGAGGTCGAGGATGGGGCGTGGCACTCGAGGCCCTGGGCCTCGGAGCGGAAGTCGAGGAGGCAGGAGGCGGCGCGGTACTCGAGGCCCTGGGCCTCGGAGCGGCCGTCGAAGGGGTGCATAGTCGGAGGCCTCGGTGCCATCGTCGAAGAGGCCGGTGGAGGTGTGATGCTCATGTTGTGTGGCCTCGAGGCGGTCGGGGAGGCAGGAGGCGTGGTACACGCAGTCCTGGGCCTCTGGGCAGAAGTAAAGGTCGGGGCTGGACAGACCTCCTACCCTGACACGTCGATTAAGGAATTGGCCGTTTTCGGTTCGCGAGAGGGCGTCGCGGCCGTCATTATTGCGGGTCCAGGTCCGTCGGTTCCGGTCCCAGGCCGTTTTCATTAAGGGGAGGTCTACTCCAATAGCCCTTATAACTGCGACGAGGCGACGATCGAAAGCAGTGCCCCGGCACTGCTTTGAACGCGTTCAAAGCAGTGCCCCGGCACTGCTTTGAACGTATGATATGATGATATGATGATGATTATGATTGATGATGATGATGATTTTTCCAGCGTACACTGTCCGCAACTGCGGCAATCAACATCATGTTCCACTTGCCCGCAACTGCGGCCATCACCAACACTGCCCCTCGAAGCTCCACGGAGGGCGCTCGGCAGGTCGCCCGCTCGAGCCCCACTCGACTTCACGCTGAGGAGGCGAGCCCTCAGGGGCATTGTCCGCAACTGCGGCATGATCAGAGGGCCACCACTGCGCGCCATCAGCGCCCCATTCGCTCGAGCTCCAGTCCCACCAGGACCAGCCCTGCCATCTCGTGGCGGGACTGCGCGCCTCCCATGCGCCGCTGCCGCTGGCGTCCCAGGACCCAGCCGCCACTGCGGCACAAGAAGGGGTCGCATCGTCGCCGTTGGCAGCTTGCGGCGGTGGCGTGTTCCCAGCTCGCTCAGCCCCAGCGTCTCTCCCCGCAACTGCGGTTCCCATCTGGGGTCGGACGCCCTTCCCCGCAACTGCGGTGTCCGCGTAGCTGCCCTTCTTGCCGCCCTTCTTGCCGCCCTTCCTGCCGCCCTTCCTGCGTTCCAACCTCGCGGCGAGTCTTTCAGGTGACCTGCGGCACGTATTGTGCGTGAAAGCCACCAGAGGGAAGTGCGCTCCGTGCCTCGCCCTGCCGAAGGCGCCATGCCATATCTTGTCGTCGAGGTTGCCCTGCTTCACTCTGAAGGGATGGCGCACCCAATCGTCGCGTTCCCTGCGCGCCATCCTTTGCTCGAACTCCGCAACTGCGGTCAAGGATTCGCCAGATGGCGTCAGGAAGGCGCGCATCTTGTTTTCAACGGGCTCAGCCTTGGGCACGTAAGTCTGAAGCATCTTCCCAGGGCCATTCGTGTAGTCGAAGACAGGGAAAGACGGATCATGCTGGGTCGTCAAGAATCCGCCCTCACGGTCGTGCAGAACACTCAGGCCATGGTGAAGCTTGTACTGCCCAGGACAGTTTATGAACAAAATCGCCATGCTGTCTGCCCTGGGCTGGCCGCCTGCTGTCTTCCAGGGGGTCCACGCGGCGACGTCCACAGTCAGGCCGCAATTGCGGCACCAGGACACAAGCTGGAACATGCACATGTTGAAGTCCCCCATGCAGACCTTCACGTCCCATTCCCTGACGTAGGCGACGAACCAGTTGTAGAACTCATGGAGCTTCGTGACGCCCCAGTCTTGGTTGGCCAAGCTGTGGTGGACGTGCACCGCCATGACGTTGAAGGAGCCCCCCAAATGGGTCACGGCCTGGTCCAGGTGGACGCGCACCACCATCGCCCTGGAGTACTTGTTGTGCAGCTTTGGCGCAGGAGCCTCCGCAACTGCGGACTGTTTCTTCTTCTTCTTCGTTTTGGACTTCTCCTGCTTGTGGAAGAGTCTCGCAAAGTCTACGTGTTCAATGTGGCCGCCACTGCGGTCCCTCATGCCAACAAGGAGGGTCCCTGATGGCTCGCCGCCCTTAACGCACAGGTAGTTGTATTGAGTCCGACTCCGAAACCTATCGTCCGCAACTGCGGCTGCACTGTCCCTCGCGTCGTGCTCCCCACTGAGTACCGCGCAGGTCTCGTCGTCGCACTCGCAGAGGGCGATGATCTGGGCAGGGTTCGCGCGGAGCTGCGCCCACTCGTCCGCGCGTTGCGTGGGTCTAGCTGCAGTCCCTCCGAAGTTGGCCACGTAGAAGCCGACCCGTCCCGCTTCGAACTCCGTTTTCTCCTCCCATGCGTCGACAAGAGCTCTTTGTTTTTCCGACAGATTGCTTGTCTCGATGATGGGCACCCGTTTCCAGGGTCTCCGCGACGACAACACTCTCGGCATGTAGGAGTCATGTGCTGCCGCAACTGCGGCTCCCGCACCTCCCTGGGACTCAGCCTCGTCAGCGGAGGCAGCCGAGGACGCGACGGTGCTGTCGCCATCTTGCGTCCGCTGGTCGTCGTCATCATCCGCAACTGCGGCTTCCTCGTCTTTGCCTCCCTCCTCCTCCTCAGCGTTGTGGATGAACACCGTTCTGGCGAATCGAGGTCCACGGTCCATACTCCCTGAGGATGCGCTCGGGCGCGCGGGCGGCCACATGCTTGCGTCTTCGCGTGCGCCACCTCGAGCCACGGTGGCTACGGAAATGGATCGTGAATGGGCATGGGGTCGGATGGAGGGAGGAGACAAAGAGGATTCGAGGAGTGGCAGAAGGAGGGCGAGGACTCAAAGGAACCGAAAGAACAACAAATGGACTGGCGGAGAAGCAGAAGGAGGGCGACGATTGCAAGGGACTGTGAAAGGATTATTTTCACAGCAGCAGGAAGACCGCAACTGCGGTTTTGCCTCATCTCCTGCCCGCGCGGGAGCCGCTTGGAAAAACAACTTCCCTCTGGACTTCCTGTGGGTCCGCAACTGCGGCCTGCATCACGCTAGGGCTGGGATTACCAGCGCCATTTGCCCTCCCAGGGTTCTCACTGTTTCCGAATGCACGAACTGCGACAGCGCCGAACGGTTCCCAGACGCCGCGTCGTTCGCGACTTTTTGCAGCCACCCAGCAAACGTGAGCGGCCATTGCTCCTTGTGCTGCTTGCACATCTCCTCGTCCCAATGCGTCTTGAACCATGCCCACTCCCCCCTCTGCTCGTCTGAGAGGACGCCTTTTCCGCGAGCCAGGCGATCCAGAGCTGCCATCCTGTTTTTCTTGATCTTGAACTCCTCGGGATTCCACTGCGCTAGGGCGTGTTTGTTAGCCAAAGCCGTTTCCACCGCAACTGCGGCCTCCTTCTTTGCCCTCAAGGCGGCCTCGGCCTCTCGAATCTGCTTCTTGAGATCGTGCAACGCCTTCGTCCTGTCGTTCGCTTCCAGAGCCAGGCGCCGCTTTTTCGCCACCACTGCGGCTTCGTGGTCTCGCTGGGCAGTCAACGCTCGTAGGACCTCGTTGTCCTCCCGCGCCAGCTCTCTCAACCGCTTCTTTTGTTTGTGTCGTTGCTGTCGGCAATCCTGCGCTAGTTTCTCCATGCCCACTTGGCGCAGCATATCTTCCGCCTCGCGGAGCGTTTCTGCCAAGGACGTCGCCACTGCCACCTGCTCGGCCGCCTCTGCGTCGACCACGCAGTCCATGGATACCGAGGATCCTTGAGGCCCAGGTGCCGCAACTGCGGCATCGCACTGTTCCGCAAGAGCCTCGGCCCACGAGGCCTCCTCTTGCTCTTCGTCCTCCTCGTGCTCCTCGTGCACCTCCTCCTCCTCCTCCTCCCCGCCCTCCTCATCGCCCTCCTCGTGGCCTGGCTCCTGGCCTAGCGCTTCGTCGCCGAGCTTCTCCAACACGGAATCTGTGGCGTCGTGTTTCTCGTATTCGTGTATGAGACGCAGCACGTCATTGTAGGACCATTTCAAACGTTTCTGCTCGCATTCTTCCCTCACCTCCGCGACTGCGGTGTCCACTTTTGCTCGCAGCCCCCCTGCTTCCCAGAGTTCCGCCGCCTCTCGGCAAATCTCGAGATCTCCTGACTTGTCGAAGGGCGCTCGAATTCCCACTTTCAGGAAACCTTTCGCGGCGTCCAAGTGCAACTGCACATTCTCCAACACTGACAGCATCAAGTCGGCGCAATCGGAACGCCGCAACTGCGGCACGTGCTTCCCCAACGCCATTTGCTGCACCAGCGCTTTGGTCTCGAGGGCAATGTACCGGCGCTTCACGTGCTGGTTCAAGTCCGTGTCCACGGGCTGCGCAACTGCGGTCGTCCCCCCGCCGTGAATGATCAGCACGTAGCCGCGCTGCCAGGCGAGTCTCCGCACAGCGTCTGCTTTGTGCGGGGAATGGTCGTCGGCCATGAGGATGCGCCACTTTCCCCGCAACTGCGGGTCGTCGGGCCAGGCCCGCAAGTGCCGCTGCAAGAATGATACAACGTCGTCTGCGCGGTAGGACCCCTTCTCGGACGTCGCCGTGCTCACCCAAGACGGATAGCCGCGACTGCGGGCATGTGCGGCCAAGCCCTCAGC